CGACTTCAGCTGTGGTCCATCCTCACAGCAAATATTTGTAAACAAAAAAGAAACACTGACTATTTTAAGATATTCATTTTTTAAATATTTCAATTCCTTTGCTCTGCATGTTTGTGATGCATATCAGTTGCCTGTTTACTTATTATTGCGATTGTTTGCTATGTACTCTATTATGACTATGAAATATGCCATTTGAAGGTGGAGAACACTAACAGGTCGTAACGTTTTGAATGTTGTATAGATGTCTTTGAATAGTCACTTTCGGAGTAGTGAAAACAAGAGGTTGAGGTTAGGTTTACGGTAATGGGCAAATTGATCCTGAGTTTACAACGAATAAGGGTCATGCAGTACATAATATAAGTTTACTGAGTTTTACCAATTGTTTTGACATAACAAAAACGGCAACGATTCACTATATGAGATTAATGTGACAACAATTCAGATATTTGAAAGTAGCCTTGTTAGTTTATTTTATATTTTATTTGAACACATACATATAGGTACAAATATATATTCGCCATACGATTGTGTGAGGTCTATGATATTGTCCGGGTGCCCAAAATGAAGCTGGTGATTTTCTTAGGAATCCACACCCAGAGCCTTTGACCCGAAGGTTTGATCAAGCAGACAGTGGGGCATCGTGAAGAAGTGCATTCCAATGGTAGCCGCTGACCAACGATTAGTTCATACACTATTTGTTCCCTCAGGATCCTGGAGCCCATGTGCACCATTGGTTTGGAATCAGGGTTTCCCAACTTCCCTAGTTGGACTTATAAGTTCCAAATTAGGTTTGGCTGAAGAATAACTGTCTGGTAAGTGAAGAAACGCGTGTCTGCCAATCGAAGTTAGAACAAGGTGATTGGAGTAACAGCGGTTCTAAATTCTATCATAAATACAAATATATGACTTCACCTAAACAAATATTACCACTCAGTTATTCAACCAATAATTGTTGCTACAATAATCGATCTTGATTACAATAAATAGATAAATTGATAAGAAATATAAGAGAATTGTTGAAAGCATCAAAAATAAGTATTATTTTATCCTTCCTGGATAGATCAAGTGTTTTCGATTCTGGGAATGTGTTTCAATTCACAACCAAAATGTACGATCCCGGTCAAATCCGGCAACAAAATGAAAGGGAGCACGATCAATATGGCTGCCGCCAAGATACAATATCAACTAAAACAACATAGATACAGTTCAGGAAGAAACATATCAACTCAGTGAGAGCGAAAGAGAAAATGCTAAAATTGTTATGAAATGAAACATTACAATTTCAAATGGCATCAAAAAGTTCAACAACTAAGGAAACTATTAAGAACAAATTGTAAATGAATGGGGTTTTCACACACGAAACCTTCAAAATTGATCTCATGGGACTCAGTATGTCAACCGATAGCCTTGTCAGAAAATCATACATAACAGAAACTTTAAGTATGTGTACTTAAATCCACACGACATATCTGTTCTCAAAAGAATATGATTATAAGTAAGAATGAATCGTACTTGAATATTACTGAGATTTAAGAAGAGTTTCAGTCCTGTTATTTTTATAATTTAGTGTATTAAGATGTGCTCACATGTAGTAGATCGATTCAGTATCCGGCGGTAGATTCAAAAACTATTAATATTTAAGATCGCGAATGACAACATATTCCTCTCTCTTTCATAATAGTAAATAAAAGTCAGATGATAAGTCTTGTCGAATGATGGACGTTCAGTCAGAAAATCTACTCCCTTCCCCATGAACTCTTTGACTGTGATTTCGCAATGAATCTTACCAGGAATGTTTAGAATTCTCCCAGATGCTGTCATTCAGTAGTCACCTCTTGAAGGGTGATATTTGGACACTGTTCAATTTTGCTTAGAATTCTGGTTCTAATGTCGGCGTCTTCTGAAGATTGTAAGCTGCATACGAAAACAAGACATTTGAATTGGTCTTCTGTCATTGCTGATAGTTTAAAGCGCTCACATTAGCGATTTATTATGCTAGCATGTTGCACCCAGTCATTATTGCCGGCTTTTACTATTTTCAAGCACTGATAGCGAATATTGAACAGGGAAGACTGTTCACCAAAAATTTGCGACAAAATTTTAATTGTTTCTTCGAATGAGATGTCTCTTGGGTTCTTGGGCAGAATGTAATTAGTATATCGTTCATGTTCAATGGTACCCAGCTTTCGTAGTAGCACCCTGACCTTGGCGGCATCATCAAAAGTTTCTAGGTCGACATTAAATACATCTTCATATTTCTTGTACCAAGATTCGAATGTTACACCAGCAACACCATCAAAATGAAATTCGTGAATGGAATCAATGATACAATCAGCATGCGATTTGGCAGAAACATCTGTAAGTCCATTCTTATTGAGGTTCATCTGCTGGGTTAGTTTTTCGAGTATGCGCATCTGGAATTGTTCAAGCCGTTTTTCATGGCGCTCTAGAAAAGCTTCAAATTGGTCAAAGGTAATAGACATCTTGATAAATTAACCCATCGCCAGTTGTAATGTCTCGTACCTTGATTCTCAATATGCCGCGAACTACTTGACTACTTGAACGATAGAACCCGCAAACGTCGCAAAAGAGAGAAGACAAAGACTGGTAAGCAGGAAGTTTATTGCCCCAAACAGTGTCAAAATATAGCCCAGAAATCTCGTGTATTTATAGTTATTGGCTGAAAGTAAATTATCATTTAGGTCAACCAATAAGCACATAGGTATCAAACTAATCCATCCAATGGAGAAGCTCCACGTTGGCATTTCTAGAACATTCCCCTAGCCCTTATTGGATGGAATGTCTGCGGCTCTTCCTGGGCTTCCTAGAGCCTCCTCGACTTCAGCTGTGGTCCATCCTCACAGCAAATATTTGTAAACAAAAAAGAAACACTGACTATTTTAAGATATTCATTTTTTAAATATTTCAATTCCTTTGCTCTGCATGTTTGTGATGCATATCAGTTGCCTGTTTACTTATTATTGCGATTGTTTGCTATGTACTCTATTATGACTATGAAATATGCCATTTGAAGGTGGAGAACACTAACAGGTCGTAACGTTTTGAATGTTGTATAGATGTCTTTGAATAGTCACTTTCGGAGTAGTGAAAACAAGAGGTTGAGGTTAGGTTTACGGTAATGGGCAAATTGATCCTGAGTTTACAACGAATAAGGGTCATGCAGTACATAATATAAGTTTACTGAGTTTTACCAATTGTTTTGACATAACAAAAACGGCAACGATTCACTATATGAGATTAATGTGACAACAATTCAGATATTTGAAAGTAGCCTTGTTAGTTTATTTTATATTTTATTTGAACACATACATATAGGTACAAATATATATTCGCCATACGATTGTGTGAGGTCTATGATATTGTCCGGGTGCCCAAAATGAAGCTGGTGATTTTCTTAGGAATCCACACCCAGAGCCTTTGACCCGAAGGTTTGATCAAGCAGACAGTGGGGCATCGTGAAGAAGTGCATTCCAATGGTAGCCGCTGACCAACGATTAGTTCATACACTATTTGTTCCCTCAGGATCCTGGAGCCCATGTGCACCATTGGTTTGGAATCAGGGTTTCCCAACTTCCCTAGTTGGACTTATAAGTTCCAAATTAGGTTTGGCTGAAGAATAACTGTCTGGTAAGTGAAGAAACGCGTGTCTGCCAATCGAAGTTAGAACAAGGTGATTGGAGTAACAGCGGTTCTAAATTCTATCATAAATACAAATATATGACTTCACCTAAACAAATATTACCACTCAGTTATTCAACCAATAATTGTTGCTACAATAATCGATCTTGATTACAATAAATAGATAAATTGATAAGAAATATAAGAGAATTGTTGAAAGCATCAAAAATAAGCATTATTTTATCCTTCCTGGATAGATCAAGTGTTTTCGATTCTGGGAATGTGTTTCAATTCACAACCAAAATGTACGATCCCGGTCAAATCCGGCAACAAAATGAAAGGGAGCACGATCAATATGGCTGCCGCCAAGATACAATATCAACTAAAACAACATAGATACAGTTCAGGAAGAAACATATCAACTCAGTGAGAGCGAAAGAGAAAATGCTAAAATTGTTATGAAATGAAACATTACAATTTCAAATGGCATCAAAAAGTTCAACAACTAAGGAAACTATTAAGAACAAATTGTAAATGAATGGGGTTTTCACACACGAAACCTTCAAAATTGATCTCATGGGACTCAGTATGTCAACCGATAGCCTTGTCAGAAAATCATACATAACAGAAACTTTAAGTATGTGTACTTAAATCCACACGACATATCTGTTCTCAAAAGAATATGATTATAAGTAAGAATGAATCGTACTTGAATATTACTGAGATTTAAGAAGAGTTTCAGTCCTGTTATTTTTATAATTTAGTGTATTAAGATGTGCTCACATGTAGTAGATCGATTCAGTATCCGGCGGTAGATTCAAAAACTATTAATATTTAAGATCGCGAATGACAACATATTCCTCTCTCTTTCATAATAGTAAATAAAAGTCAGATGATAAGTCTTGTCGAATGATGGACGTTCAGTCAGAAAATCTACTCCCTTCCCCATGAACTCTTTGACTGTGATTTCGCAATGAATCTTACCAGCAATGTTTAGAATTCTCCCAGATGCACTATGCGATGATTGATGAGTTGAATATATATTCTTGGTTTCCCAATTTTCTCCTACGTCCATCTGCTTATAAGTGTTATATCGGAGGTTTTAAGCGAGCATCATACTCATTAATCTTGAGGGAAACATACTTCCTATGATTATGGGAGCCGGTTCTGTTAACAGCTACTTTCAATTTGACTGTACGTGGCTTGAACCTTCTAGAATAAACTTTAGTTATAATCAAACGCTGATTAGATAAAATGCTTCCTAACGTTTCTTTGAGCTTGTCATGTTTATTGTAAGAAATTTGCAGGATCATCCCAACAGCAAGTATAAAAACATTTGATTATTTCTTGTTTCATTTCAGGTTCACGTTTATTGGTCCCTTTAATATGTGCTACAATCTTAATGAGTGCATTAATCTGTATCTTCATTATATGTTGTTATTCACAAAGAAAACGTCGTCAATTCCTTATGAAATATGCAACAACAACAAGAATAGCGCCTAATAATGAACCATCATCAGATTTAATTCAAAATTTATCAGACAGTAATAATCATTCAATGAATGTAACTAATCCAATTAATATAACATCGATTCATCAAAATTACCCTTCATATCATCCACAATTCATATGTGTATCAACATTACTGTCGAAAAGAAGATAATTAATCAATATCAGTCATCTTTGATTTGAAAGAAAACATTGTTAAATAATCAAATATGACGTGGGACAGACACGGCGTTTTGGTCGGTATTCGATAATATCCTTAAACTTCGTGTACTGTTCACTTTAATAACCGTTACTAGATAACACCCCAAAGGTGCATAAATCAGAAGGTGAATACAAAGTGTTAATTGCGTTTATCGTTGAAACACACACAGATATCTAAAACTGCAGGTACTTTAAGCAAGAATGAAAGAGAAGTGCTGAAAAGCAAGCAAGTGAGCGAGAGAATGATCGAGTTCATGAACGAGTGTGGAAATGAATGAAACATCGATTCACTTGAGCGACTTATAGAAAGGCTAGCAGAATGAATATATGCGTAGACAGTAAGCAATGCTCAACCATACACATTCATAAAAGTGCAACAATAATAAAGGTACAATAGAACAGATAGGTTGTTACTGTACGAGTGACTCTATCCGTCAAATAAGCGAACAAACGGGCTTAACCAATTTAAATATGAACAAACTCAATAGTACGTGAGGTGCTGTTACAGCATCAATGTACGTTGATTCCACTTGTTACAACCAACACAGTAAAAAGAGATGAAATGAATAAAATACATAATGTACTAGTAAAATGGTGGTCTATGATGGTGGAAAAAGATAAGGTAGAGAATATGATTGAATTCTGAACATAAGCAATATGTAGTATTGTGTGTGTCCGGGTTAGTGGTCGATTTTGATTCATGTTACCCAAGATTTTCAGTCATCGTGGACTCCAACTGGATAGTTTAAAACAACCAGTGAGTGGTTTCATGAACTGATACCATGTCTTGGTTTGGGTACCCTTTGCGTCTGCATCATATGGACGTAAAAGTACGAAGTAAATGAACTGAACATATTATTTGGTATAATCTTAGTTGCCCCGTTTCATTTTCAACTATATGTTCTACGGCTTAAATGTATCCGCATGTATGTTTAAGTTAGAATTATGGTGTTACTATCTCATCACTGAGAATGACTGGTCAGACATACTTATACTGTAGTGAGTTAATCGATAATATGTCTATATTTTGTCTGATGAGTACCTATGCTTAGTGAATGCCCATCCTACAAAAAGCAGCCGATTGAAAGTATATGTATCTGTTGATTGTTGTGAGCACTTATGAAAGTACCCATGCAGTGAAAACAAATTTAAGACACTGGCCAACTAGTCGAAAACAACAATAATGGAAAATTGGAATCATGAGACATTGGACTCAAAATGACTTATGAACAAGTTGAAATAAGCGGTCAAGATTCTTAAGCGTTGAAAAACTAATAATATTTGAATCCTTTTCTACTGATGAGTTCCACAGGTTGCTTGTATTGTGTTAAATAAATTATTGTTGACTTACTATCTGGTTCTTTATTGTCGATCGGATATTGTATATGTGAATTACGTGATCCGATTTGGTGATCGTATAAGTACCCATATTTTTTCTGTACGTTTTCGATTCCTATCCAATAATCATTTCCCCTGGTTCTTCCATCTTCTGATTTAACGGCCGTGGATTTCTACACGTTCAAGTGCCGTAAGTTGTACGTCGTATTCTGCCGAAATCAAGTAGAGGACATTGTAGTACCTTGCTTCGCTAATCTTTCACCTCAATAACCGTTATAATACAAATGTTAACGGTGCTTAAAATCAGAAGGCAAAGAGAAGCATTACAGGCAAGTTAGCCTAGCATTCCACAGAAATCAGGGTGGCATGTATAACATATGGCAGTTATCTATTGAATTTTTAAAAAAACTTTGCAAAAAATTGGAGTTAATAAAAGTTATAATTATTTTTCAATCTTCATTCTTGTCCACGCAATCTTCAGCTAGATATTAGGCGCTATCATATATCGTTGTTAACATAAATGCATGTGGACAACTGTGAACATAATTCATAACGAGAGAATGTTGAAATTCATGATAGAGAGAATGAGTGTAATCATTAGAAGTCGGATAATCACGTCAATCTGAAATCAACAAACACCTCAGAAGCGATACAATTTAATAATCAATCAGGGAAATCTTGGATAGTTATATAATCAGTAAACGGAATACAAGCCTGGTTCAGTGAAGAATTCTTTTTCTAAACAAATCATCGCAATTCTGCTGCAGTGGTGGTTGCATGCAGCCTCTTCTGATGAACACACAAGTGCCACTGAATAGCTGCTGCAGCACAAATAATCGGTGTTCTTGTGACCTCGGAGCGTTATTTTTAAATCATTCATGTGCCTCCTTATTCGATGTACTGAGTTGGGTACATCCGTCAAAACACTCTTACCTGAAGTGATAACCAACCCATGTAAGTGCAAAGAAGTTCCGTACATGAACTCAGCTGGACAGCACCCAATATCTTGTTTATTGATTTTCTTAGACCTAATATGATTGAAGGTAGCTTATTTGTCCAACCGTTATTATCAGTGACGGTCGTTGGAGATGCCATTGACTGTCTGTGTAGGCGTCCAGTCATACCACTACAAACCCAGTGTAGATATATATATATATATATTTCATCGCTCACAAGAGGCATAACCCTGATTTCCATTCCCGTGTCAAATAAAAATTGCGCCCCGCCATTCCGATTGACGAATAAGTCTTGTGATGATCAGCCGGGTTAAATGTCACAACACAGAAAGGCTCACACGTGCCTACATTTGGAATTCCTCTTTCTTCTAGATATTGACTGGATCATAAAGGCCTCCGCAAGTCAGAGAAGGCAGAAATACAATGAACAACTTGAACTCAATTGAACAATTAACATTTCTCAGACGATCTGGCTCTTTGATCCCATATGCATCAACGAATTCGGGCGAAGAAAAGCATTAGTCAGCAGCCTCTGAAGCAGTAGGCTTCAACGTACACAAGGAAAAAAGAAATATTCTGAAATATAACACAGTGAGCACCAACCGAATCAAACTTCATTGTGAAGCTGTGGAATAGGGCAACACTGCTACAGTTGAAGAAAATATCGAGTTTGGAAGAACTTTGCGTATTTACCACAGTGAAAATCCTCAAAACAAACGTCGTGACCACCATCATCAACAGCTCTCTACACAGGACACCCCAAATTCGTTGGATAGTAACCATCAGCAAAATCGGGTTGAGGCAGAAAAAAACAACAATCTAACTGAAGACAAATTTGCGAATGGATTCTGGAGGCAAATTGGACGCATATTTTGGTAATCATCAAACTACTTCATTAGTCAAGTTGTGAATTAGAATTCTCGAGGCAAAATGAAATGAGGTAGACATGAAGACATATTGTGTTGGGAATCTAAGGCAAACAACAAAACAATGAACAGCGTTTGACAATGGATTGTAAGGATAGTCTATGATAGAGTTGTTCGGAGAATGCTGATCTGAGGCCTATGTTCCACGAGGTGAAAAACGTGAGTGTGAGGAAGTAGTAAAGAATATTGATTAATGAGTTAACACGTTAGTTACAAAAGAAACGAATAACCGTGTAAAGTTTATTGTCCGTCAGGTAAAACACATAGATTATTCAGATACATATCTACGTGGATACTTATTTTAGAAATCGTCCGATTGTAGAAATAAAAAGCATAGTGTATTGATAAAATTCCTTCGTAATTAGTAAAAGACAAATATTATCAGTGTTTTGCTGTTTTTAAAAGTCGCCTGATTTCATGTTCTCTCTCTCTCTCTTCTGTCAGCACTAATTACAGTCATGAGGTGAGTTTGACCCAGTGCAATAGAACTTATTCAAAGTACATAACTGATGTTTGTACAAACATATTTTAGATATGCAACGTACCACTTTTTGTTTTTAGTTCTTTTATTAAACTTTACATAGTCTCTTAATTTTAATTACGTTGTTTGATGTTTTCTATGGTGAATAATACTCACCCCTACCATTCCACCTTCATTTTATAACGAGAGAATGTTGAAATTCATGATAGAGAGAATGAGTGTAATCATTAGAAGTCGGATAATCACGTCAATCTGAAATCAACAAACACCTCAGAAGCGATACAATTTAATAATCAATCAGGGAAATCTTGGATAGTTATATAATCAGTAAACGGAATACAAGCCTGGTTCAGTGAAGAATTCTTTTTCTAAACAAATCATCGCAATTCTGCTGCAGTGGTGGTTGCATGCAGCCTCTTCTGATGAACACACAAGTGCCACTGAATAGCTGCTGCAGCACAAATAATCGGTGTTCTTGTGACCTCGGAGCGTTATTTTTAAATCATTCATGTGCCTCCTTATTCGATGTACTGAGTTGGGTACATCCGTCAAAACACTCTTACCTGAAGTGATAACCAACCCATGTAAGTGCAAAGAAGTTCCGTACATGAACTCAGCTGGACAGCACCCAATATCTTGTTTATTGATTTTCTTAGACCTAATATGATTGAAGGTAGCTTATTTGTCCAACCGTTATTATCAGTGACGGTCGTTGGAGATGCCATTGACTGTCTGTGTAGGCGTCCAGTCATACCACTACAAACCCAGTGTAGATATATATATATATATATTTCATCGCTCACAAGAGGCATAACCCTGATTTCCATTCCCGTGTCAAATAAAAATTGCGCCCCGCCATTCCGATTGACGAATAAGTCTTGTGATGATCAGCCGGGTTAAATGTCACAACACAGAAAGGCTCACACGTGCCTACATTTGGAATTCCTCTTTCTTCTAGATATTGACTGGATCATAAAGGCCTCCGCAAGTCAGAGAAGGCAGAAATACAATGAACAACTTGAACTCAATTGAACAATTAACATTTCTCAGACGATCTGGCTCTTTGATCCCATATGCATCAACGAATTCGGGCGAAGAAAAGCATTAGTCAGCAGCCTCTGAAGCAGTAGGCTTCAACGTACACAAGGAAAAAAGAAATATTCTGAAATATAACACAGTGAGCACCAACCGAATCAAACTTCATTGTGAAGCTGTGGAATAGGGCAACACTGCTACAGTTGAAGAAAATATC